TGAACCGCCATGGCCGACGTAATTAAGGGGATTTGGTTTACTACGGGTATCGCGTGGAACGGAAAGGGAGCGGGATAGAAAGCGGGATAGAAAGCGGGATAGAAAGCGGGATAGGAAGCGAAGAAGAAGCGGAAAGGGAGAGAAAAGGTGGGCGGAATAGAAATATATCGGTATCGATCGGTGGATGCGGATGCGGATGCGGATGTGGATGCGGTAGAGAGGTGGTGACGGAGACGAAGGTGACGGCGGTGGCGGCGGAGAGACGTGCAACTGGTTGATTTCCGATGATTCGTGTGAAGCCACGGTGCGTGATTCTACCGGCGCAATTTAAGCTGGTGGAGGAGTAAGCGACGGCAAACACGTGGCACTTGTGGAGGTGCCCGAGGCGAGCTTCAAGAGGCTGATCGTGTCTGCGCGAGAAAACGAGGCGCGAGGCTGGTTAAGCGAGCTGGAACGTGTCACGTTAAACCTTTCGAGGTGTTGTACCTTCCCTTCTTCGACGTCGCATGAACCAGCCCGCGGCCACTCTGGCTTTTCGAACGAATTTCACCGACCGAAATCGAGCCTGAGCTATACCGGACGTTCCTCGGCCGTGGCTCGTTAATAAACTATGCAAGACCTGAGCTTTATCTTATTTTCTTCGGTTTTATCTTTCTCGAAAGGAAGGAACGTCTCCCTGGTGGCTCGTTTTTATCCGTACTTTGGCAAGCTAATTAAGACTGTTCTTAAATTCACCGAGTACGGAACTCGGTTATCCGGTAATGCTTTAGTTTCCAGCTTCTTCTACGTATAGCAACTCTGGAGTATAACCGTCCACCGTTCCGATGGTCGATGGGTAATTCCCTCGCAACGGTTTCGCCAGTTTCTGACCTATAAAAGCGCCACGGAAATACGGGGGTCGCCGGATGGAGAAAATTACGAATGAACGACGAATAAGGGAGAGACAATCGATCGAGACACGAAAGGCTACGAAGAAGATCGCAATGTAGCGGTCGACGTTGCTCGGTCGAACGCGTTCGCGTCTAAACGTTGACTCTTTCGCTTGGATTCGATTATATCGGATTAGAAGCCACAGAATTGGAAGACACCGATTGGCAATTTGGCGCGGGAAAAGGGTAGCTTCCGTTTTTCTTGATGGTTAGAATCTCGTTACCGGCTCGCGGTACTAACGAGATTTCGCTAAATTAAGGATACTTGTTCTACGTTTGCTCGATTCGGTTCAGCTTAAAAGAGCAGCGAGTCTTTAGGCGAAAAACGACGAAACACGTGACCGATGACCGAAACAGTCGCTTGGAGCGTGACAGAGCGTGACGGAGCGTGACGGAATTCGTACGACTGGACAAAAAAAGAACTGGAAGACCTCCTCGACGCATCCGCCGAGAATCCCGGAACGATCCTACAGGACGAACTACTCGAAAAGCGCGAGTGCGACGCGAAAACGAGCCAACTCGTCCAACTTTTATCCACGGTCAACTGAAATCGCGTGAAAGACTTAAAGGCGTGCTCGCAAACGTGGCGAGTAACGCGATCGTTTCCGCGAACTTTACGTCGAGTATTTCTCAAAGGAAAACGTTATCTCGAGCCCCGACGAGATGGAAGGATAGGCTTGAACTGGCGATGGAACGAGGCAGGATGACACGTAGAAAACGGGAACGAAGAACGACATTAGTCTCGGTCGGATCGCTTTATTTCGTGCCACTATCCAATCCGGTGAAAGAGAAGTAGCGCGAAAACGGGGAGGGAAAGGTAATATCGGAGCTTTGAAACTGGCGTTTTGGGGGATCCGACCCTATCTGTCGGTTTCCGTTAAAAGGGATCGTCTGGTCGGGTCGGTAGGCTCGGGAGGTTGGATACGTATGAATCGGGTAAAAGGTCGTGGATCAAAAGTGTATCCTCGGATCTTTGAGGGATAACCTTTTCGCCTCCTTTTTTCTTTTTAATACGGGTCCTGGGTAAATGGAATACCGCGATCGTCCGTACGATGGAAGCGAAACATTTTCCGCCGTTCAGCTCTCGACCGCGTCGAGCTTTCCTAGCTTTCCTAACTTTCCAGGGAAGGATGGAATTATCGCTCGTCTATCGCGAGCGTTCGCTTGTCCCCGATCAAATTTTCTTCTCGTCGTTTCTCTCTTTAAGCTCTCTCGCGTATCCGGCGTATCGACGCGACGCGATTTATTTCGTCGCGTGTAAACGAACCCGACGCCGTCTCTCTTGCTTTCTCCCTCGAGGCAGCGCCGAGTAAGATGGATAAACGTCGAGAAGAAAGTCGGGTAAATTATATTAAATGATTTATGACGCGTGTGCGCGTCTGCCGGGGCGCGTTTATTTAAAATGGCGGTACAGCTATGCGGTGGAAATGTCGCAGACGCGGGTATCGCTTTTGTTTGCGCGTCGCTTGGATGACATTCGTTTCGACGGTGGTGTACTGCAGCTGCAGATGGAATACTAATAATGGAAAACGTGCTTTCTGTTTCAGATGACATAGAATGGGTTGGGTGGCGCTTGGGCGGTGTGCGGGTGGTGGCGGCCGCCTCTCGTCCGTCCTCTCGCTGTCTCTCACCTCCCTCGCAAGCTCCCTCATCTTCACCATCCTCTGTATCCTCACACTTGCCCTCACTCTTGTCACTCTCGTGCGTGCCGAAGACATGTACGTATTATGCAATACACGATAATTATCACTTTCTTCCACCGCCAGCTACTCTTAACTTCCCGATGCGCCAGAGACTATCGACGCGTAACAACGCGTACGCGCGCGTGTAATTGCGCCGTTGTTACGTTGTTTCCGAACAGTCACGCGGCTCGTTATGGAGCATTACCGATGAGATTACCGCCAACGCATCGAGAAGCTAAGAGCGCGTCTCTAGAGTAGAATATTGCGTTGCTTGTGATAGGATCGAGACGGCGACATTTTGGTAGCGAGGATAGTTAGTACCGATAGGATAGATGGAGATCCGCGCGACACGGATCGCATTCCACGGTCGGGAGTAATAAATTTCTTTGCATGGACTAGAGGATCGCCACTAATGTCGCCACATTTCGTGTTCATGATGAAAAAGAGCTCTTATACTCTTGTTTTACATTTAATACTGCGCAAACTTGTCTCGTTATTAACCGGGACGCTGGTCGAAGGATGGGAGTTTGCTCGTTCGCTGTCCATTACCCTTTACGCTCGCGAACTTGCTTTACCGGTCATTAAACTCGTCGTCATCGTGGCTATGACGTTTATGTAGCGAAACGACGATTGTAATGAGCCAAAGAGGGAGAGAAAGAGGGGGGAAAGAGAGAGAGAGAGAGAGAGAGAGAGAGAGAGAGAGAGAGAGAGAGAATGACACGTAGGATGACGTCTATTCGAGCGAAGCCGGGATTGAAGCCGTGAACGAAATCGGGTGAAAATCTGTCGATTCGCGAACGCTTTTGCTCGATCAGCGTCCCCCTCTACCCGTTCGTTCGATTGCATCGTACAAGTTTAGCCCGTGTAGACAAGTTTGGATCCTAGTGATCGCGATGTAGACGAGATCGAAGCAACGAACGTTAAATAGCAATTTACAGAATAATTCGATGACGCTCGAGGGTAGTAGCTGTTAAATACGTATATAGTGCGTTTAGAGAGCTGCGTAATTTCTTCTTCGAATAATTGGTAGATCGTGTGAGTTTCTCTTTTAATATGTGTAGCCATTACGAATACTCGAAAGAGAACAACGCGCGTTTCGTACAGATTGCGTGCAGTGCATTCTCAAGAGAACCGATCTTGGACACCTCGAAGGTCAAGGTCGAGGTCGCGAGAAAGCAAATTGCGGATTAATCGAGGATCGACCTTCGGGGTGGCTAGAGAACACTCGATCGGGGGTGAAATCCGAGGAAAGAAAAGGAAAGGAAAGGAAAGGAAAGGAAAGGAAAGAAAAGGAAAGGAAAGGAAAGGAAAGGAAAGAAAAAGGAAAGGAAAGGAAAAATCCATCGCGGATCCGGTGGTTTTCGGGGCTAGCTACAATACGTTGTGTTGCAGCTTCGAGGAGGGCAAGTCGGACAAGGAGATTCTGGACAACCTGCTACTGTCGACGCGTTACGACAAGCGGCTTCTGCCCCCGGTCCAAGGTACACTGAGGCCCCCGCCCCACACTCGCCAAGACGACTACACCCCTGACTACCTCGTACCCAATGACCCTGATCATCCAGAGCACCTCGAACATCACCGGCACCGCTACCACCATACAGCACCACACAACCACAGCTCACTGCTCACCCCTCGTCAAAAGGGTACTCTATATTAGAAATCGACCTGATCGCGCTAAATATCGGCATGAGAAGGAAAAACGGGAGCAAACGGACGAATGAAAGCGTAACTCTATTCTCTCCCGTTCCCTTACCTCCTTCTCCTTTCCTCTTTCCTTTCCCCTTTACCTTCCTTTCTCTGCTCTCCCCGTCATCGTCCTTCCTTCCCGAGTTTGCCAGTTGCGTGACTGACACGCGTGTATGCGTTTGTATTCGGGACGCGTTCGTTTTACTGGTTATTTATCCGGGGGAGAAAGATAGTGGAATGCTTGGAAAGACTGGTGTACGAATGTGGAGAGAAAGAAAGGGGTACATGGTGTGTGCGAGAGGGAGAAAGGAGAGATAAATGGCGAAGATGAAAAGAAAACTCGATGAAAAGGAGACGCGAGTAGGGAGCATGGCCGAAAACACGGAAGAGAGAAGAGAAAAGAAAAAGAAACGAGGAAGGGAGAAATTAAAAATCGGTCCGTTCGATATCGAAGGGAAGAGTTGGCCGAATCGGGTGACCCGTCTGACCAATGCCGCTCCTCTATCACTAGCTGCGAGGCTTCGCTGCCAACAGCTGTTTACCTCGCTGCCAGTGTCCCGGTGAAAATTCGATTCAGCCTGGCAATAAATTTGCAGCCTCTCTGTTAACGCGACTGAAATTCTTCTCGAGATCGAAATTATCCCGCCCAGACAGGTTGACGCTTTTATCGCGTTTCGAAACGAATTAACTATATATTTCTTTCTTGATTCCCCCCACGCCCCTTCTTTTTTCCTTTTTCTTTTTTCCTCCCCCGTTGATCGATTCAATTTCGCTGGAAGCAACCGTAGACTACTCGAACCGATTGTCGTAACACGTTCGCGACAGGCTTCGATTCGGGCTAACGAGTTTTCTAATTATCTCTCCGCTCGCCGAGAGCGACGCGTGAATTAAGCGATACCAGGGAAAATAAAAAGCCGAATATCGTTGGATTTCTAGTGGCTACGAACGTCGTGGAAATGTTTACGTCACGCTTTATATAAATTCGGTGGACGAATCGATGTTACGTGGCCCAGATTTATTCGGATGTAAATTTACTCGGCTCTCGGCAATTAATCATCGATCTAATACACAACGGTTCGCTCCCCTTTATAAGGGTGAACGTCGCCGCGTTTATTCCATGCAATTATAATGCCTTCCCTATATAAATGCTGCGAGCACGGCCACGGTGCCTAATAAATCGTGCTTTCTTGGCATTCCAACGGATCCTTTTACCTTCGCAAAACCTTCTAGATCACTCTCGAATCTCGGAAAAATTTCTGCCGTTCGAAAGAGGAAATATCGAGATATACGTGGAGCATTTTGCACGTTGCCTGAACTATCGCGGTATAATAAACCGACCGCGTTTCGCAGAGATCGATGAATAAATTTAAATATCGCGAAAGAACTTCAGTGGGAAAGTTAGGGATTTTTTTTATCCCGGTTGAAAGCTGACAGCTTTGACTGGATAGAGAGCAAAGTCAGACGGACCTCCTAATTTCGGCCATTCGATTTTACAACGGAGATCTTCTGCTTGGACGAGCTTTGCAGGGAGAAGCTTCTACCGAATCCGACGAGACGGTACAAAATCGTTGCGATGCCGCGATAAACTGCCAGCTAGTAGTTTGCAGCTATCACGCGTAAGCAAACTTATTCGAAAGGATTATAGTAGCTTCGCGATATGCCTCGTTTTCGTTTTGAGCGTTCTTCACCCTCTGAAAATTCATTTAGGTTACGCAGGAAATAAAAAGAAGAGGAAAGGAAAGCAAAAGCATTGGAGATTTGCATGGGAATAATAAATGAATACGCGAACGGGGAGCCAAGTTGAAAACGAAATGCCGTGGTTGGCGGCAAATGAAACGCTCGAAGGATTATTACGGCCGATAAAGGGGAGAAATTAGCATGTTTTCGAAACGTATCTCTCGACGGAACCACGTTTCATCTCGAACGCTCGACTTATCGATTCGCTTTCGTAGACAGGGAATTTCGGGACGTCGCGCAACTTGGATGCGATTGAATCGGTAATACGTTGATTAAACACTCGTGGAGAGTACCTCGGGGCAACCCTCAGACATGCCGATACGGCCGCGATACGGATCTCGTAGAAAGGATCGATCTCGTGAAATCTCGTGGTGGAAATACGCGCGTGAGATAGAAGCGTTTTAAAACCGTATATCCGTCGACTTTATTCCCATGCCGAAAGTGGAAATTGATACGCGCGAGAGTGGAAATTTCGCCTCGCGTCCTCGAGGACGATTTCCGGTTTGCCGACGTAGCCAGGAAATCGGTAATTAATCGATGTCCCCCGGTACAAGCGTGCGAAACGATTTCCGCGTGGACCGAGTAAAGTGCCTATCGGGGAGACAACGTTTTACCCTTTGAAAGAAAGTCTGGCGCACAAAAGAACGGTTTCTCTTTGTATCGGAGGAAACGGGAAAGTTGCCACGACGCCCTCGAGCACCGGCATCATTTGTTCAGCCAGCGAATGTAAAGAAAGCACGCTTTCGAAAGTGCGAGTACGAGATGAAAAGAGAAGGGTGTGACGAGACTCTAGAATCGGAGGAGAAACAACCGCGTATCGCTTCTGTCTACTTTTCTCCCTAACGTTGCGGAACATTTTCAATTGGAGCGACAAAAGAGACACGTCGATTGCTTGTTTCGCGCTAAGCACACATCTCCTTCGCGTTCTCGTGGCAGAATAAACGCAAACTCGAGGGGGAAAAATAGGAACAGGGCGAAGAGGAGAAACTCGAAACGCGAGACTCGGCTGTCGGTTGAAGAAGAAGTAACGAACCGAGGAGAATGGTCAAAGAGTTAAAACTGCGCGTTGCACGGATCAGAGATGAAATCGGAAACGAGCACAGAGGGTGAAGAGACGCGGTGCTAACGAAACGAACGCCGCGCGAACTGCATGGAAATCGCATTATTTAGAGTCGATCAGGACGAATTTGCACGACACGAACGTGCACCTTTCTGACTTTTCTTCAAAGTAACGTTGATTTTCTGCAAGGCTTTTTCACTCGTTTCCACTTTGTTTTCTATTTCTCAATTTCTTTTTTTTCTTTCCTTTCTTTTTATCTGTTTCTTTGTCTTTTTAATTTTTCTTTTTCCTTTTTTTCTGACGTCAATCTAATCGACCGCTCGTGTGTTCGAAGAAGGACCAAACGGTCAGGAAGAAAGCGTGTTTAACGCTTTCGTGGAAAATTTGGCAGGAAATCCAACGAGAAATCCAACTGATCGTGTACGGTAATTGGAAATTTATCGGCACACCCTTATCGTCGAGTGGATATTTATCTCGTCGACAGAGGTGTGCTGTGTTCCGTCGTTTTGATCGAGTTGGAACGTTTGATGGCTCCCCCCAACTCCCGGAAGAGAGGGATTAATCGAGACTCGACGACGCGTTACATGGTGAGCTAACTTCGTCGTTAGGGCTGGACGTAGGTTGACGAAGGACAAGATGAGACGTGGGCAAGAGTTGTTGGGTTCACAGAAATTCACACACTGAGACTCTAACGAATGTACAACCTTTTCATATCCCCGTTGCTATTCTCTTCGCTGTTCGATCGGATAACGAGTCGCTCGTAACAAGCTATTTGTCGAGATCGTACTAAGAGGCTGAATTTCAAACGCGCAAGCACATGCTTCGCATGTGAAAACGCGTGGAAATCTCGCTGAAGAAAAATATACCGTGCTAATTTCCCTTTGCTGCCGTTGTCGTTGCTATCCTTACCGTCGTTACTGTTCCATCGTGTTTTGCACGGTGTATTATACGGTGTTTTATACGGTGTTTTGTAACGTTGAGAAAAAGAAAAAAGTCAAATTCAAGGAAGAGATAAGTAGACGGCGAGCGCAGGATCGAACAGTTACATTGATCGATAGTAACACGAAAAAGGATGAGACGTGGGCAAGGGTTGTTGGGTGTTACAGATGCGGATTTCTGCTGCGGAATGCGATGGCCTGGTGACGCCACCGGCCTGTCGAACCGGTCGTCGACCTCCTCTAACGACCCCAAGAACCAGTACAAGAACCAGAACAATAACCACTACACGTCGCACCAACACCTTCGCACCCACCTTCGCGGTCCGTCCTTTTCTGCTTTTACTTCTCTCGTAACCTCGTCTAGAGAAATAATTAAGACTACCACGATTTTCATCCGACCCGACCCATTCAGTTTCCGCGTTTCTCCTCTCGTTCTCGTGACCGCCATTTTCTTCCGTCTGTTCATTCGCTTCGATTTATTATTTTATCGGATCAGCCGACACCTTACTCGGCCGAACGGTCGGTAAACCGACGAAAGCAAAACGAGCGTGCACCTCAGAATATACCGTTCAACTATTATACAGGGATCTTATCCTGAATGGGTTGCTCGTCGAATTTTCGTACGAGGGTTTATAGGTCGATCGAATTTTTATCTCCGTTATTTGTTCTTGTCGTCCATAGATGTATGTACATGTTTATTCCTGCCAGCAAAAGGAGAATAAAAGAGATAGCCGTGCTCTTTACAACTTTCTCCCCGAGTGGTTCTTGGTTCCGTGCTTTTCAATAAAATTTCAATCCAGACCACCTCTCTTGCACGGATGAACCGGTCGGATCGTTTCGACTCGTTTCGTGGTCCGAACGATTCGAGCGATATGAAAACATTGTTCGACCTAAACCTTCGATTCTTCGATTCCAAACACACGCACAGTCAGTATACTCACGGCGAAGCCCGTTCGAGAAACTTTCTACGTTCTTGCGTAACACGTTGATTCGCGATTCGAACAGCGATAGAAGAATGTCGATAAGCGAAAAGTCGAGTCGTTGGTAGACGCGAACCTCGAAACGGGACATTTCGTGCTAAGAGGACGTAAAAATGTAGATTACCGATCGCGGGATATATCGAGTTCGTGTACGATCTGCCTCGCTGATTAATGCTCGTTCACCGGTATAACGATGCACCAGCCGTTTATCAAAAACTAGCGACAAAGTCAGCGTGTTTACGATTCATAACGCGTCGATCAATTTTTTTTTCTCTCTCTCCGTTTTTTCTTTTTTTTTTTTTCTTTTTTTTCTCCTGTTTTCTGCAGCACAATCGAGTATGCATTACGCGAGCAGCCGAGATCGCCGAACGATTCTATCGCTGAAAACGAAAGCTCCGCGCGAGACGACGCGGAGAGCTGGTGCCAACGAATTCGTTCCTCGATCGTTGATACGAAATTTCTAAACGTCCCTCTCCGTCCTTGTTTTCCACACGTTCACATCCGTATTTCCGCACACCAGCGTACTAGACACACTCGCAGTTGACGTGTCTTTGCGTAGCTGAATGCGTTGGCAATTATCGACTCGGTGGTTGGGACTCGTTAGACTCGTGACACGCGAACGAGCCAGTGCAAATTGACCGTTTTACTCCGAGAATACCGTGCATCGGGCACATCGTTGATTAGACAAGGCCGCACAGCGAAAATGTACCGTATGTCTGTGACGGAGCATCGCTGCAACGATTATTTTATTTCCGTTTCCATTCCCATTACTATTAGCATTACCATTTTTTATTTCCGGTTCCGTTTCCGCTTCCGTTTCCGCATCCGTTTCCGTATCCGTGTCCGTTGCGAGCGATCCTCTTCTCGATCGAATGTCGCTGTGCTATCGCGCCTCTCGACGACCGGTTCTCGAGTCCTAACTCTCCGACTAGGAGCTTCACACGAATACAGACATATGAAATTAGTCGCAGCATGTGCACAGCATGGCTCCAATATGATGCTTTCGCAATAACAGCAACGGCTTATGCAGACGTAGAAAAGAAACGAGACAATGGCGATCTCGCGATCGAAACGGAACGCGATCGATTTCATCCGGGGAAACTCGTGTCTTCGTTGCAGTTTACCTGCGCGAATTGTAATTGAAAGTCACTCGCACGAGTCAGAGAAACCAAGACTATCTCTGCTTTGCCGCCGCAGCCCGCTGCTTCGTCTTAAACCTGTTAAACACGTTGCGATACGATGTTTGGAAATGATGTTGAAAAGTTGAAAAATTAGCCGCAACTTTAAAGGTTATGCCGATTCCCTTTCCCGATGCGAGATGTCTCCCCTCCGAAGAATGTTCTTTTACGAATTAGCGTGCTCTTCTCGTGACCGCTTCGAACAGATGTCCGCTGGACCCTTTAATTTCAATGGAACACTGTGTTTCAGGAACCTTGACCGTAAACGTGAGCGTGCTGTTGCTAAGTTTGGCTTCTCCCGACGAGTCCAGTTTGGTAATTAAAATTTTCTCTCTCGTTAATTTTATTCTCCATCCGTTCCACGAGATTCAACCATGGTCATTGGAACATATCCACCGGTTTAGCGGAGCATACCGACACGTGATCATACACGAGATCAATTTCTTTGTTCACATCAGGTGCACCAAAGCCGTTAAAACACATGGCACATGCGTCCACATCCTTCCATTTCGCTCGTTAGGATTTCGTAACGGTTCTTGCGTTCCTTTTATCGACAGAAATACGAGGTGGAGTTCTTGCTGCAACAACAGTGGTACGACCCGCGATTACGCTACAGTAACCGATCGCAGTACGAGTTCTTGAATGCGATTCATCATTACAACGATATCTGGTTGCCGGACACGTACTTCATAATGCACGGAGACTTCAAGGACCCGCTCATACCAGTTCACTTTGCCCTTCGGATATATCGCAACGGCACGGTTAACTATCTTATGCGGTATTTATCTCGCATCCTTACCACCTTTCTTTCGTCGCCGAGACTTTCTTTCTCGTGCTAATTAGGATCAACGATCGAAATCCCGAACGAAAGTCTCGGCAAAATGAACCTAACGCTTCTCGTATTTCAGGCGTCATCTCATCCTGTCCTGCCAGGGTAGACTCAATATCTTCCCATTCGATGACCCACTGTGTTCATTCGCGATCGAGAGCAGTAAGTGAACGCATGATCTATTACGCTTTCTTATTACTTTCTTTTCCATTTTCGACTCCGACACCATTGTCTACCTTTTTCTTCAGTATCGTACGAGCAAACGGCGATCACGTACGTGTGGAAGAACGACGAGGGTACCTTGCGGAAGAGTCCTAGTCTAACGTCGCTGAACGCATACCTCATTAAGAACCAGACAATCACGTGTCCGATCAAAGTAAGCTGGAGAGGTAAGTTGTCCAATTAACGGTTCAATTTATAAAGAGGAATAGTTGAAACTAACGGAAAACATGTACGATTCTCGTTTACGACTACCTCGAAGACGGGGCAAGTCCCGATGATCGACAAATGTTCTTTGGGTATCCACGTACAGTTTCAACGCTTTCTACCGTTCGCGCTTCTCGAGTTTTCCTTTCGAATTCGATTTTTCGAAGAAAGGAAAAGAAAAAGGAGAAAACCTGTTCGGACTGTACGATGATAACCTCGATATTAAGATACGAAAAAAATGAACGCATCGTTAGGTCTATCGAATTACCATCGAATTAACATGGAAACGAATAAGATGAGAAAACGTCGCTGAAACTATGCCATTTTTTAATTCGTTGTCAATTCTCTTTTATGATTTTTATTGCATCCTTAAATAACACGCTTCTGTACTGTTGCAATGCACCGAACACGATCATTTCGTTAGTCCATAAAACGATTTTAGTGTCGCTTATATACGCACTCGAAGACTCGAGTTGAACTTTTGTATTCTCTATCGTACAGTGACCGACGAATCGATCACTAACCGCCTATCTACCTCGTTAGGTCATCCTGAAAGTTCCGCGACTTCGAACCACGTACTTCGAAACAACATATAGAACAACATGCACACGAGTAACCCGAAAAAATCTAGCTGCTGCATCGTTAAGATCGCTCGAAGATCGTTTGAAGATCATCGCGAGATCAGTGAAGGACGTTCAAAGGTTCTGGAACGATATGGCGTTGGTAAAGACCGTAGTTGTTTAACTATAAGTTAATAACGATAACTACGTAATTTTGTAGTTGGCTAACGTGACATTCATAGTACGCGATGCGACTCGATGCTTTTTTCAAAGCGGACGGTTCGAAAGTCGCGGAAACTTTCAGGATAATCTAATCGATTTCAATCCGATGCCTGTACAGGTATAGTTTTGCTACATTAGAAAACTTATCGAAAGAAGATGACGATGAAAAGACTACTTTATCGAGAAAAGTGAGGAAAAAAGGTGAAAGTACAATCGTGTTCCTTCTGGCTGAGTTTGGAGACCGTAATACCTGCGTGGAATAGCCGAGGAAGGACCGTAATACCTGTTAGCAGGTCGATGCACCCGAGGCGCTGCATCCCTTAAACCTTTGCTGTGAATTCCTGGAAAATTTCACCATCGTTTCCACGGACGACGCCATTGGGTCGATAAATCCGGCTAGCATCAGCGAAAAAAGATTCCTCATATCATTCGCGTCTTTCCTACGTTTCGGCTTTGTCTTTGTCTCCAACCTACTAATCATCGATTATTCCCCGTAACGTCGCTTCTCGCTTTCTCTCTCTGTCTCTCTAATCGAGGTCTCGATCGCCTCGCGCGTGCTCTTACTCCTCTTCGAGTGTAACAGGCGTTGCGTAAGGGATGAAATTTCTTCGTCTCGAGATTCCAAAGGACGCGAGACGTCTCTGTGGTCTTCTCCTTCGGAATCCCGTGTACGATTCGCTCTCTGTCCTTCCTTTCTCGAGTTTCTTATTTTTCTTTTACCATTCGAATATTATTTCGTTTTCTTCTCCCACTCTCTATTTCATTCTCCTCTCTGCTCATCGACTGCCGATTTTCTTTTCCATCCTACGCCTGCATCTCATAGCGTCTGTTCCCCGTTGACATTGTCAGAATGACACGCTCTTCGAACGAATCTCGCGAAACGTGTTCGCGAACTCGTATTAGATCATCAGGTAAGTTGCAATGCATGCGTCATGCATATCGATGTGACCTCGCTATATTTTCGATGCTTGACCTCTTTTGCACTGCATCAACTTCAATGACACTACGAATAGAATGCTTTTGTTTCAAAGTTCGTGAATTGTTCGTGAGTTTGTACGCTTATTCCACGGTATATAGGTTCGGATAACGAAGGGAAAAAAGTATCTCCATCGGATTCGAAAGATTAAGGGACGCGCGTGTGCGTGAGAATGCGTATGTTTGCCTCTCCTAGGTTCATACGCGTAAAGAACGATTCGTAGACCGAGCAACGAAGAAAACGTGAAAGAAAAGAACGGACTCTGCATGCGACGTAGCAGAACTGTAACGAAGAAAAAAAGAAATCTTCGTTTTTGTTTCCACCTTTGTTTCTAGTTGGCGTAGATATATTTCTTATATGTACACATATGTCTTTCTCTCTCTTTCAGGTGTATATATACATACATCTATATGTTTTTGTACAGCATAAAGAAAAGAAAGAAAAAATATATATATATATATGCATATACACACCTGCCTAGATGATACATAGTCCTCTAGAAAGTGCATATTGGCAACCTTGGTTCCTGTCTCGCTTTACAACCGAGCCCGCCGTGGTTTGCTTTTGGGGTGAGGTTTTCGGTTTTTCAGTGACCTAATATCAACTATCCTTACCGATGCCATTTTTCCCCTATGCTCTATTAGTCGTATCGTCGTGTCGTCGCGAATTTCTTTAAGATGTACATACATACATGCATACATACATACATACGTGCATACATACATATCACGGTGTCACGTGAACACCAGTCTGTCGTTGCATTGCTGAACTTGTATCTCGATAACTTTGACGAGTACGACGTTCGGATTCGTTCTTTTTCTTTTTTTTTTTTTCCTTTTTTTCTATGTTACGAGAGGAATGTGTTGCTATTAGTTTCATAATTAACAATTAAAGTATCTTATTTGAGCTAATCGTTTCATAACCGTTACTTTGGTCGCTTATAAGCTCTTTAAACAGCTTTCGCAGCCAGTGAGAAGCTTTTGAACGTTTTTGTCGAGAGCGTAATTCCTGCAGCTTGTGGAGTGAAACCACACGAACGCCTCTATTTTCTCAGACAGATCGAATAATTCTAACCATTAACGTGAAACAAGGTGAAAGATCCTTTTCCTTTCAGGTCGCAGAGAAGCGGTTTCTTCTTTCTTTTTCTTTTTTTTCTTTTTTCTTCTTCCCCAGACAAATTTCGAAACTCCATGATTTTGAGACGAATGGTCACTGATTGGACATTACGCGATTACATCGAAGATCAATAATGTCGCGTTGTTTCTTTACCCTGAAGGAATTAACCATGGCGGTATGCGGGTAATGCTTGGTCTAGTTAGCCCAACGATTAAATTTCCTCTGTGCCCGTTCAGTTGAGACACGATTTATTCGTATCGACGAGAAATCATCGCCGGACAATTAATCGTCGCAGTACAAAGAAATATATATATAAAAAAAAAAAAAAAAAAAAAAAAAAGAGGGAAATCGGTCGCATGTAATAAATCAGGAGGACGGATAGATCTTGCCACGAGCAAACAAAGCCCACACCTTCGAACTTCGTACACCTCGTTACATTCACCGCCAATTTTTGTCCTTGCCTTTCGTTTATCGCTTCACGCAACGATTCGTGAATCAGTGAATCGTTTCATAATCATATACGTATTAGTTGTTTCGTCTTCTCGTTGTTCACGCAAGTGTGGTTCATTTTTTCACACTGTAGGAGAATGGTAATCCGGACGAATCGAGGGATTAATAACGTACAACGTTGATTGCGAGATCTGGTAATTGCATTTATTGATTTCTCAGTGTTTCCGACGATCGGTATCGAGGCGATATATTTTAACACACGAACCGAATGTCTCCCGTTCACTTTCGTTCTTCAATTTATGCAATGTTACCATTAAGTATCCGCCATTCCATTCATCCTCGACCATGTCCTCGAATTCCCAACACGAAATTCTTTTTCAACGAAACTCCGTAATTTTTACAACAGCCGCATTGATCGAGCCTCTTTCGAGATCAAGATTTATCCGTCCCCTCGACAGCGATTTGAGAACATAAAAAAAAAAAAAAAACAAATTGAAAACAAGGGAAAGAAAAATAAAAAATAAAAGATAGCAAGAAGAGAGGAAGGAAGATCGTGGGCTGTTCTGTTGCAGCTGATGGACAGATCATGGTCGACTACGAGGACGAGTTCGATGAATTTGGGGACTCAAAGTGCTCGCTGTGCCAGCGCAGATTTGAGGAGCAAGGTAAAATCCTCCCCTTCGATATGAACGGTATTTGTTACGAAAAAAAAGAAAAAAAAAGAAAGAGAAGAACGCGCGAGAAGGGTTTAGATAAGCTGTAGAAGGGAGGGAGAGACAGGACCAAGCTTACCAACTCATGAGACAGGCCTAGATACTCAGAGTTGCTGCTTCCCAAATCGTCCTCTTCCTTGGACGGGATGTTACAGTATTTCTGTTTATTCCCATAATCTTTTTACGTCGGAAAATAACTGTCCACGATAGAGGAATTTGGGAAACATTGTCCCAAGTAATAGATCCGATGTCACATACACCGTATCATCGACAATTCATGGTACTTTTACCCTTTGTACTCGTTCTCGATTATTCCATGATAGACGCAAAAGTAGAGTGAAACCAGTTTAGAAATTACGAAGCAAGCGATTTGCGCCAGAAATTTCGAGACATATTTTCAAGAATACAGGCAATTATCGCAAGATTTTCCACGCGTAAAGAGTAGATCTATGGTGCGAAGGGTGGAAGGACTGCCGTACCGCCTACGACTTTTCGTCGAGTGATTAAAAATTACAGTATCGGAATTCATTTTAACGATATAGATTGTTAATTGTTAATCGCTTGGCAGAAAGCTCGTGCTTTAGAACGTTACGAAAAATTAGTATTTTAACCGTTTGTAAGTCGTATTTAGCGTTCAACCCACACGTTAGTTCCGAATACGAGTATTACTTGCTGAACGTGATTCGAATCGTTTGTTTCAATCGTTTAGCCTATGCTTCGCTTCTGCTTCATTACATTCCCCATTCTTTCTTTTTCCATTCTTTTTTCTTTTTTTTTCTTATCACGAAGAGGATCGTACAACAGAACCATCCGACAGTCGAACTCCAGTCGACTAGATGAATTTTTTCGCTACGCACACGACCATTTTCCCCGTCCCTTTTCTCGTTAGCGAACGATCAGTTGTGCAAAATGATTTGAACAGTTCTCGCAATGTTCTCCGATTTTTATCGATTTTTCTCGATTTTTATTTATCGATTCGAAGTAAATATTATTTGGAACCTGAATGCAGTCACTCGATTCACACCGTTCCCCCTGTTCCTCGAATTTTTATCCTGTCAAACGTTCACGCGTTTAGTAACTAGCTCGGCTTGAAATGCTTTCGCGAATGTGGAGCTTCGTTGCGGAAGATTGGCGACACAACAGTGACCTCTTGTTCCTCTTGTATCTTTTTTTTTTTTCTTTTTTTTTTCTCTGTTGGTTTATTTCTCCATGTCACTAGCTGATTTCTCCGAAGGGGAGCCACGAATATCGATATCAACCTATACCTGCGGCATTGCGTAAAGAAAAAACTATTTGTGCCGAGTCGAGAATAATCCGAGAAAGCCGGTCGGAGAAAGCCAAATTACGGTCACCTTTTAGTGCGCAACAATTAAAAATACGACAATGTCTTTTGAAGAGAAAAGAGAAAAGAGAAAAAACTATGATGGGATCTCACGAGAAATCTCATAAAGAAGTTAAAAAAGCGTAGGAAAAGAATTGGATAATTTGAAAAAGCATCGGCTTTAACTTACCGATTAACTTATCGTTTAAGAGGATAATCACACTAATCGCTTATTTAGCTCCATCGATCTAATCGCTCGCTGTACGCGTCACTACGCAAAGATAGTATCGTAATGTGAATGTAACGTACAATAGGTAACTACAGCTGCCTGAAGGTGGATCTGATTTTCACGCGAGATCGTGCCTTCTACTTCACAACAGTCTTCATCCCGGGTATCATATTGGTGACCAGCTCCTTCATAACCTTCTGGCTTGAATGGAACGCGGTGCCAGCGCGAGTAATGATCGGTAAGCTGACGATTAAGCTCGATTATTTGGCAAACTTTAAATCGTTTCGCAGCTACGTGTGTACGTGTGTGTAAGTAGAGATGTAGGGTAACTCTGTGAAAAGAGGAACGGTTCGTACGATTGGTGCGAACTCGTTGGTGCGCTTTCGTCTCGTTAACGAGAGGAAAGAGGAAAGGTGGGAGGAAGGGTAGGAGCGATGGAAAGAGGAAAAAAGTAACGTTACGGTGGATGTTGCATGAAATAAAGCGAAGGAGCGATCTCGTAAAAGACACAGAGATCTCGTGAAACAGAAGGGGAAACGATTGTTCGCAGGTGTGACGACGATGCTCAACTTCTTCACGACGTCGAACGGTTTCCGCTCGACGCTGCCCGTCGTGTCGAACCTAACTGCCATGAACGTGTGGGACGGCGTGTGTATGTGCTTCATCTACGCCAGCTTGCTCGAGTTCGTCTGCGTGAATTACGTCGGTCGTAAACGGCCGATGCACAATGTCGTCTATCGTCCTGGAGAGAATCCCGTCACCCAGGTACTTTTGCTCACCGGCGTGCGCGCGATGCCGACACCATGCCGACACCACGCGCATATATATATATATATTCTTTTCCTTATACACTTATACGTTTCGTACGTTTTCTACCTTTACCTCTGTCGTCTTTTTCTTTTCAGTCTCTTTCTTTGTTTTTCTCTTTCCTTCCTCTTTCTCTATTTCTCTCTTTCTCTACTTCTATCTTGCTCTCTGTCTTCGTGTTCTTATTCTTTGCGATTTCACCGAAACCCCGAGCGACGCTTTGCTCCTCCGAGTCTTAAGATTTCTCCACCTTTTCAGTTCTCTACAATTTTTCGTCTCTACATTTACCCCCACCGCCCTTCACCCCCTCACGTTTTCTATCTCTCTCAATCCTTTTTGCGTTTTCTTCGTTTTCTTCGTTTTCCCTCTTTCACGTTTCTTCTTTCTCGCTTCCGATCTTATCCATTCTTCTTCGTTTTCTTTACTTTCTTTTTTCTTTTCTTCCTCTCTTTTTGTTCTCTTTCGCTTCCCTCCCTCGATTACTTTCATTATCACGCGCTCTTTAACAGACCCACGCTTTTTTTTCTTCCATCGTTAATCCGTAGTTCGAATCGTTAATTGTTTCTCGATCGACTCCACGCTGATCTCATATTCGAGTTACACTATCCGCGATCATTACGTTCTTATTGTTACGCCCCTTTCACGCTACATGATATACCTACTCAAGTGTCGCGAACCTTTTCTCGTAAATGACAAAAGCCCGATCTGACTCAACGTGTCGAAATGGTCGCGTGCGAGGATAAACGAGACGATCGATGAAATACTCTTGTGACCGAGATGACGGAATTTTTGAACGTATACGATTCGAAAGTGGAACAAGAGTAGATTCTCCTCGGCGACACTTGGACCAGGGAAAAAGCATCTCCGCTCCGGATGCAGGAGCAAAAGCAGCGGGCGTCCAGTTCCGTGGCAAATTGGTCGTGTGATTGACGCCGAACAATCGAAATCCTTCGCTACTTACGTTCTCGAGTAGATATCACCGATACCATAGACTCTTCTTTTATCTCGGCCAGACGACGACGTTACGCACACTCGCAATAATCGACCACAAAACATCCTCCTCCATTCGACGACTCGACTAAACGTCGAGTTCGCTCTCCATAGCGAACGATCGAACGGGATCCTTGGTTCCACGCGAAATTCTCTACTTTTTCTCAACGTTTTCACGCGTAACGGGTGGAACGAGCAAATCCCCGACTGGCTTGCGAAATTAAAGAGATCGACGTTGCCACGGTGAAAGATTTGCTCGTTTCTCCCCGTATCTTCGCCAAATGCATTTCTGCGTACATCGCCTTCAGCAAAACTTCTGTAATGCGTGATAAAAGATCGATGCGTGAAAACTAGCCAAAGAGGAGCGTCGATAGGAAGGAAGGATGGGAAAAGAGAAGGTGGGAAAAAGATGGTAGGCGCGTTGAATTAAAGCCGTAATATCCGATGTAAAGAGGAATAAAAATCGATCGTAGAAATCGACGATAAAGACTGATCGAAACGCGTGGATAGATCCATTTGCAACGGAATCGTGCCTGGAAGACATTCGCGATATTCGCGTTGTATCGAGTAATCGCTAACTACGACGTTGGATAAATATTTCTTCTTTTTCTACCGCGTTCCCATCGCGTGTGATCTCGTTGGCGTGAACGTTGCACAGACACGGTATGGTTTGTTACCCAACAATAGCTGCATCTCTCGAAGCTCTACGCCTATGTCTATACGATATAGCTTTTCCCGATCGTCATCTTCCTCCCGGAAGGTCTGACGCCATATTTCCTTTCTAATTTCGCAACACGAAATTACTCGTGCGTCATAACACACGTTTGAGTTACGAATTTTTGGCGAGAAATCGCCACGATTCTTCCATCTCTATCTCGGGCACATATGGGAATGATGAAAAGGATCGTGGGTTAAGAAACATCGGGGAAGAAGGTAAAACTCGTGTACGATTTTTCGCGAGTTCGTTGCACGCTCGTCGGATTCGGTCGAGGCTGCAGTATTTGCATGTCTCCAACAATTTCACACTCTTTGGCCCCCTCTTGTTCTCTATATGATCTTCTCTATTTTCTAATTTTTATTCTTCCATATTAACCCGAACAGAGATACGGATTTTTCTTTCTCGGGTATTGCCGTGCACCTCCGTCATCATCTCCGATTACTGAATCGTTTCGCGAGAAATCTCTCTTCTCCGGCGTGTCTACGCGTTACTATCTCGCGATCAACGATCTTCGCGTCGACGAAACCTGAAACAAACGGATTTAATTTCCGACCAATTCGATACGATCCGACCGGTGCCAACGATCGTCCAACTATTACCTCTTTCTTTCCTTTTTTTATCCGCGGTTCTGTCGAGATCGCGAGAAATAGCGACGGTGAAATGACCAGGTTGCTGCCCCGCTGTGACAGATCGTATTGTGTTTGTGTTTCTTGCATGTACAATTTATCGAAAGTTTTAATCGTGAAACGTAAATAGCCTAGATGTCGAGGAGCCAGGCTACCGTGACCACAAGCGAACATCTGTAGACCGACGTTGCGAACCTTAAATCGCCCGCCATTACCGGAAACGTAATGTAAAACGTAATAACGCGAGATGGAAACGGAAAGGAGGTGAACGCGCGAGTGAGAATTCATCGACGCGGTATCGAGAGGTTTCGCGAGCGTTGTAAAAACGGGACAGACTTCGAGGATGAACGACGATTCGGACACGGTGACGTTCGGTCGTGAGAATCCTAAAGTCACGGAGTTTCGCATTGGACGAACGGCAGCGTGACGCTTTAGTATAACGTTCTGTCCTTATCGCGTAGTATCGCGCGTATCCGTAGAAAAATGAAACACGGAAACAAAAAAAAAAAATGGCTAAGAAAAGAGATACCAAAAAACGGAACGGAAAAGTTTCGACCTGAAGAAAGCAGAGAACGAGAGTGTAAAAAGCGGAAAAAGTAAAATAAAAGAGAAAAGCGATGATAAGGGAAAGACAAACACGTTTGTTACACACACACGATTAGTAAGAATTTGGTTGGTGGAAATGTTGGTGAGTAAGTCTCTTTGTTTGGTGTCTGTGATGTTGCAGCGGCTCCCAGCGGTGCTCAGCAGGATAGGGATAATATTGGCCAGCCCCTTGGTAAGACCCCCCATAGCATTAGGGCGCGGTCACGACTTCGCGCGTTATCCGAATACCCTTAGAGCATTTCTAGCCTCGATTCGACTCGATTCCACTCGGTCTCGTTTCGCAAAAACCGTCGGAATAATTTCGATATCGTCAAAAGACGCGGGGTACCGTGCCGCGTGTATGCAACCTTTCTTTCTCCATATTTTCTCTTTCTCTCTGTTTCTCGTTCTTTCGTTGGGATTACCACCATTCGGAAAAGAAGTGGTGTGCACGTGCAAGGTCTTAACCGCGTCCTGACAAACCACACACAGACCCACATGTACTTACATGCCTATGCTACACTTTCGATTACACCTACACGCAACACGTACACGGACACTCGTTCTCTCTTGCTATGTGGGTTCGAGAGATCGAGATAACCTTTATCTTTCTCTAGCCTTTCCTCGCTACGCGTATCGTGGAAAGCTCGTCGAGCAGGGATGTTCCCGATGCAACTGCTTGACCCTCGATCACTCGATCTTCGCGATCTCGATCTTCGCGAAACGGGATAAGGTGGGAAAATTGAATCCGATACGCATACGCGTATATACCATATATGCGTTCATCGATGAACGTCTCTCTCGACTTCCATCTACCCTTACTTTGGTCACTGTGTACTCTTTCCGCCTGTGCTCGTGCCATTTCTCTGCCTCTTTTACCTTTCCGTCTCTCTGTCTCTCTTTCTCTCTCTCTTTATCTTTACCTGTCTCTACCTATCTCTCCCCATCTCTCCCCATCTTTCCCCCTCTCTTCCCGTCTCTCACCATCTCTCCCTATCTCTCCCGCCCTTCCGCAAACACCCACCTCACATCAAACATGAACAAACGCATACGCGCCTACACGCATACATATACACGTTCACACGCGCCAAGTTCCTCTCTGTCTCTCGCTCTCTCTGGCCTTTTCCTCTTCCTAGCATAAACATAGCCGTTGTTCCGTACTCTTCGAACGGTGCACAGTGAAATATACGTGTATTGCATAGAACGACGCAATTGCATGGAAGCTTTTGCAGAATGCCGCAAAATTCACGAACACCTTTTGCCGAGTATTACGAAGATAATCCGAAGGGGCGACGATGAATTTGGCGAGCAATCTGTGTAACGAAAGGTAGCAGTAAAGACGATAGTTTGACTTTAGCCGAATCTGTGTCTGCTAGATCTCTCTGCGCTTCTTCCTATGCCTCGACGAACGAGAGAGGTATACGCGTAACGTTGGATTTACAAGATTCGCGAGATTGTTCGCGGGTGTCGCGGTAAAATTCCTCTTCTTCTAGACTCCGTAGGACCTAGAGATCCGAAATTTCGCAGGGAAAAACCGTTGTAAATCCAAACGGATGTGCGCGTGTCGTTGTGCATGAATCTGCATTTTGAATCGATGACGGGGATACCTCGACCTGTACGTATTACGCATGGAACGCATGTGATGCATGAGAAACGTAAGAAGTTGCATGCGCACGATAAACATCCTGTGATACTTAGCTCGATCACACTGTATATCTTGTTGCCTTGACGAAACTGTACGATTCTCCGGTTCCGTTTTACGAAATCACGCCAATTCAAACGAACGGTTCGCTCTCGCGATCAAGCTTTTATCCTCCGCGAGTTTCCACGATCTGCATATTCGCGGGGCAATCGGTTATTAACGCTTCTTCTTCTCCTAACGTTGCGCTTGTTCGAAACCAAGTTTCCCGCGTGTAACCTCTTTCCTCTACAACGTGTCTCGATGTCGCTTAGTCGCCCTTGCGTTTGCTCGCGTTTTCTCGCGTTTGCTCGCGTCTGATAACAGCAAGACGAAAACGGAATATGTCGGTGAAAGCGATTACTCGAGAGTAGAAGACTCACCGACTCGCTTGCAGATCGAAGGGCCAAAGAACTTCGGGAACGTTAGACCATGCATTACCGGAAACTGTCCTTGCGTAAGCTTTGCTTGAGTAAAGAGTTGATTTGGCAGAAAGTTAGATTAGTAGCGACAGAGTTTACGATTCGCTTCTATTCCTTTGATTTGCGAGCGATGCCTTTCCAAGAACGATTCGATCGTTTTTCGTCCAACTAACTCCACGACAGGCCAACGTAATACGAGTACGATTTTTCTCGATCGCTTCGGCGTTGCAAAATCATCCATCGAACCGAACAAACATATTATTTACCATCGGACGAACCAACTTTCGCGCTCGTTACTTTTCATCGAACTCGACGAAACAGGGACAACGACGAAAACGAATTTCATTCGTGCCAGATATATCTTTCCTTCTGTCTTCTTTTTTTCTTCTTTTTTTTCTTTCTTTTTTTTTACTATGATGTTCATTCAAAATTCATGTAGCAAAGATAAGAAAGGAACCGCTGTTATTCCATAGAATCCGTTCGTGGTAACGAGAGAAAGCTCCGAGAGGAGCAACGCGATAAAGGCGAGACGTTCGATTACGCGTGTAACTGAAAACATGGAATAACAGTGCGATACGAAGAGTCATTTCATTTGCGCGTTTTACTCGATTACCTTTCTTTCCTTTTAACCGTGATCGACATTAAATCATAATCAACCGTACACATATTCTTTCTTTTTTATTAATATATATTATTGATAATATATATAGATATATAGATATATAGATATATATATAATAATAATATGATTGTGACATCAACAGTCGCTTTTTGCCATTAAACTTAACCCGATTTGAAGCTTGACATGTAGCATAAGCTTGACATAAAATATCTTTCTCAAACGCAACTGTCCGGTATAGAAATCCGCTCTGACGTTCGCTCAGTTTAATGACAAAGTCACCTAAGAAAAACGAACCGAAAGGAAAAAGCAAAGTAGAGAACCGGAAATTAGTAAGAAAAAGATGCATTAAACTGCGCGAAAATCGCGAAGGGAATTTCATCGTGCGGAGAACCTGTGCTCGAGAAAAGATATCGTCGAAACGACTTTAGACATGTACAGTTGTTACAAGAGAGAGTACGTCGTTCACATCGGAATCGACATACTTGGCCATCGAAATGAAAAATATAACAAAACGCGAAAGAAAAAGAAAGAGAAACAAGACAATTAACGGTAGAAATAACGGGGAAAAATGAGAAAGTTCGAGTCCGATGTGCGACAGTGTAATACGTAGATGTTATACGGCATGTAACTCGTAAGTTATACGCAGAGGCACGAAAGTATTGATCTATATACGTGTACAAGATGTACCGTTAAGAAAAACAACGATTCGCTTTTCGATCAAAAACGGTAAAGGAACGGAAAAGAAGCGGTGAATCAAACGGTTAAAAAACGGTAGAAAAATGGTAAAAAAATGCCGGTGAAAATGTGGAAAGGTCGTATTATGTCGAGAGTTCGTTTTCGCTCGAAAAGGGTGAGTTCGAGGCGGAGACGATTTCTCGCGTGCCTCGGTGGTGGTACTCGCTTGCTTTCATAGTGGAACAGTTGGCAAAAAGGGTATCGATTTAATAACGCGTTAGTTCGATCGATTCCGATTAAACTTGCAATCCATAGGTGTATTGTATGATATTTTTCTCGCTTACTTCTAACATTGATCCATTGCTCTCATTGTGCAAGGAGAAACGTACGAGCTTTTTACTTAACACGCATCCGATATCGGATTAACTGCGATAAGAAGGACGTTTCGTCGCGCGAGTATCACTTTTGGTAATCGATGCGATGATCCGAACGATGGTGGCCGATGTGTCCGTGGGAAATTTCCAAATTTATCACGCCTCTACGTGCAAGCTTCTTCGTCTCGACTAAAGCCTTCATCACGCTTAACTTACATATACTTACGCTTTGTCATCTCGAACGATCGATTATTATCGATAAAAGCTCAACGAATCTGGCCGTCGTTAACCCGTTTAACGAAATTTTCCTCTCTCTCTCTCTCTCTCTCTCTCTCTCTCTCTCTCTCTCTCTCTCTCTCTCCCCCCGTATTTTCTTATAGTTAATTTCGCACTCTGTATATACGAGAATACGAGATTTCTCTGTATAAGGCAACCTCGGATGGCTAGTGCTCTAGTCTTTTTCTTTAGATAGAAATCGTTAGCCACTGTCGACATATCGGTCACCTTTATCGCGTAAGAAACGAAGCGAAACGACACGATACGACACGATACGATACGATACTGATACGATACGAAAAAAAAGGCAACGGAATATAAAAATAATGAGAAAAAAGAGCGAGATAGAGAAATTATTGGTCGAAGGATGGATCGTTGTTTACACGAAAGATCATAAGAATATAAGTTTCTTCTACGGAGACCCTGTCGCAGGGTAAAAAGAAGCGAGAGGGCGGTCCACCGACCGGAGCTACGACAGGACCGAACGAGATTGTAACCTGCACCAATTGTGGACCCAACCCTTGCACGCACACGGCCACCAATGGATGCACAGCCGAGGTATGTTAATTACCTATGCATATCAGCCTCGAAACATCTAACTTCCTGATTTCGAGAATCGATATTCGCCACCCGATCGGTATACGTATATCATGGATACGTGACTAGCCTCGTTGCTCAGTCTATCATTTGTTATCCTTATCTTTCCGATCCTCGTTCTTGCCCCCGTATCCGTATCGAACACCTTTAACGACCCTTCGATCTTCGTATTTCAGCTAAGAAAAAAGGAACCGCCGCATCCGATAAGAGTGGCAAAGACGATCGACGTGATAGCAAGAATTACCTTTCCGGTCGCCTATTTCATGTTCCTCACCTTTTTCTTCATCCACTACAAGGGCACCTCGTAGACGTGGACACCAGAGGCGACGACGTTCGAAAGAAATCCACCATTGATCATCGACTAAGACCGGTCCCACGCGGCGTGATTTTGTTTAAATTCGTTTTAAATTATCAAGGAGAATTCGAGGCAAATCGAAAGAAAAGCGGGAAGCGCGACACGGAAATCGGCAGGTCGTTTCGAAAGTGTGTTTAATTCGAGGAAGATGAACGTCGCATGAACTCGATGATCGAGTCCAAGTGTTCGGCGATTTTTTCTCCGCTCGAAGAATCGGAGCATAATGTCGGAAAAGGTCGGGAAAAGTGTTTCGAAATCAATGTCGAAATCGAGTCACCTCATCACGTTACGTGGCTGATATTCGCAGAGAGAATAGGTTAACGAGATATGGAAAAGCGTCGATCGGCACGTGATTAAGCGAAGATCGTACCGAAGTAGCTGACAGTCCTTTGCCGTGGAAGGAAACGTCGTAAACGGGAAAAGCTCGAATTGGTGGATTCGCCTCTTCATCTTTTCTCACATGTGATAATTCTTAAAAGCACTATTTATCGAGAAAGCTTGATCCGACGAAAGGCGTATTTATAAACGGAAATAGAAAATGAAAGCGAGAAAGAGTGAGTTAAGAGGATACAGTGAGAGGGAGAGAAAGGGAGAGAGAGAAAGAGAGAGCGAGCGAGAGAGAGAGAGAGAGAGAGAGAGAGAGAGAGAGAGAGAGAGAGAGAGAGAGAGAGAGAGAGTAAACAAAGACGCGGACACACTCTTCACGATTTTTTCTTCTACTATCGGGTAGTGATGTTAATTCGGGGATGCTTCTGAAAACTAGCTAAAAGGAAATCAAATTTAATTACCTAAGGAATGTTATACTTGTAATCTCACTACGAATAGGTAAGGTCGATCTAAGTGTCGTCCATGAAATCGCTAACTCGTGATTCGCCTTTTACTTAAATATCGACCTTTTTTCTGTACTTTAACGATCACGATACCGTGGCAAGATCAACGTTATCGCAAGTTAGCTCTATATTCATAGACATTTAAAAAAAGACGTTCGCTTTCGATTAAGGGAGCAGGACTGCAAAGCATACAATTCCGTTGTACAAAAAGAAAATACACGCGCACATACACATACATATATACATGCATACATATACACGGACAGACAGACATATATACATACATACAAACATACACAACTACACACATAAATATAGTTAATCAATCGTCGTTTCATTGAAGCTTTTCACAGTAGCTACCGCGTTACCGCGTATTCGAACGTACTATGTACGATATACATATATCTTTTCTCGATCATTCAGGGTAGCTTTCCTATCGATAGCTTTTACGATTTATATTCTATCTGTATGACCGACGCAATTCAAAGAAAAAAAAAGAAAAATGTTCAACAAACTTTCGATAAAGAGTACTATGACATAGGGAATTCGGGTGATGATATAATTATACGTAATATAATCCTCCGATTTCTCTTTTCTTTCTATATTTTTTTTTTCTTTTTCTTTTCTCTTTCTTTTCCGATGAAATTTGAATACGCGAACAAAACTCGATCGATGCTCGATGAAAATCAGCGAGAAAACGATAATACGCATAGGGAGGAATTAACTTAATACGGGTAAAGCTTGCAATTAGATGTAACAAAGTGCCCAATATTCGATCCGCCAGCAACGCTGACGCTTTGCCCGCGAGAGAGGAACTTAGGAAGAACATAGGAACAAAAACGAAAGTTAATTACGTAACTCTATACCCGTCGGGATAATGAACTTCAAAGGAAGAAGTAGCGAAACGACGAAGAAAATTTAGAATGTAATTTCAAAGTTAACACATTCGACATTTCTTCGAGTAACCCGTGCATCCTTAGATACTATCGACGCGCTATTGTTATTGTTATTCTCATTATTGTTATTATTATTATCAATTATCATCATCGTTATCATCGTCATCGCCGCCATTATTATTATTATTGTTACAACAAAACCAACTACTACTACTACGACTACTATTACTACTACTTCTACTATTACTTCTACTACTACTACAACTACTGCTACTACTATTACTATTACTACTACTACTACTATTACTATCGCTATTATTACCATTAAAAAATAACTATTACTACTACTAAATACCGCTACTACCGTACTACTATATCGTTATCGCTATTTGTAAACATTATTCTTATTACGAACTTTCTGTGAAATTATACGAAAAAATGTGGCTAAAGAAAAAACATCGAGCGAGGATGATTTCGAATCGAACGAAAGCCACTTAATTCTTCAGCAATATTAAATCGCAGACCAAACTATTCCATCGCCTATCGTGCTTTCACGGAATTAGCCGCGAATCGCGGTTATTCGCGTGTTCCGGGTAATCGCGAGCCGATCGTTAAGAAAGTTTTCTTCGAGCGAAGGATTAAAGGAGGAAAAAAAAAAAGAAATTTAACGATTTCAGCAAGCTCAACGTGTAAATCTTACACGAAAAACAAAAACGTATTACGTATTACGTGTTTAGAGTAATCAGAATTAATCCCGTATAATTACATCGATCGCAAACGCATCGCTTCACCTTGTCCTCGATTTTAATTTTCATCCTTCGCGTTACGATTGATGGTTCGTAGCCGGATCACGCACGCGAGTATTATGTTCGACGAGAATTTGAGCATTTTTTCTTTCTCCCCTCTTTCCTCTGCCCTTTTTTATTCAGAAAGATGTGACCCGTGACTTTGCAACTTAACGAGCGACACTGGGCGACCGATGTAATTGTACCGCATCGCTATATTTATTACAATTACGATAATTAGGGTCGTAGGTAATAATGTTAAAAATGCTACGGGCATCGTAAAACAATCGAAAAGAAGCTTCTCTTATTATTATGGCTCCGAGTTAAGAATATTCGACGTATAAGAGAATAACGCGTAATCGACACAACGAATATTGCGTAGAGCCCGAGTTCGCCGATCAAGGAACGAACGATTCGATTCGCGTAGAGGGAAAATTATATTTCACGACGAGATGAAAATATCTCTTTATCCAAACTCGGTGAATTTTCTTGGTCTATCGAAGATTAGAAACCAAAGGCAGGAAAGAGAAGAGGAAAGGAAAAGGATTTTTGGAAAAATTGGCCGAGATTGGCTGGCGACGAATCGATGAAAAAGTGATGATCATTGACTACCTATTGCTACATATGTTTTATACGCGTTGTCATCTGCCACGAATGAACAAGCAGTCGTTTAGATGATAGGAAGCGTTGATAAATAAATTAATTAATGTCGTTAATGTTTAATACTCCACGGACCAAAACACGTAATCCTAAATCTTTATCGTCGTGTAATTAGATGCACTTGTGCAATGCCTCCTACGAGAACGCATAGTAGAGAGTCAAATTCACCTTTCGTTTCGCACCGATTTGTCCTTGTCGGCGCCTCTATTCTTGTCCAACTATACACAATTTACATACGTGTATGTACGCATACTTAATAATCAAAGAAAAAGATAACGATCGTCGAATATATATTACTATCGAAATTACCATGTTCGCATACTTCTTAATTTGTATTACTACCGCTAACATTCCTAATGTAACGGATTAACGCACTATTCTATTTAACGCAAAATATCGTTACATTAAGCGAAACTGTAATTAACCGAGTCTCTCTTCTGCGAGAAGCCTATTTATTTTTTCATACTCTACTTATCATATATATACATACGTATTGAATGTTCGGTCAATGATGCTGATCAAGACAGTGCTGAAAATCCTGTTACAGGAAAATCGCGAAACGAAGGGTGAATCATTGTCGAGTAAGCAAACGTTTCGAGCTTTATCGTCATCGTTGTCGTCGACGTCGTCGTCGCCGTCGCCGTCGTCGTCGTCGTTGTTGTCGTCGTTCTCATCGTTGTCGTCCTCCTCATCGTCCTCATCATCGTCATTGTCGTCATCGTCGTCGTCGCCGTCGTCGCCGTCTTCGTCGACTAATTTTTTGAGATAAATTCTCCAAAACAACAGCGATACGTTGCCGGCGAACAGATTCGACGGTTTGATCCTTTTTAGGGGTTTAGACAGCTTTCACTGATGCGTTTTGGCTGATTTTTAATGTAACGCTGTTATTATATCGAAAAGTTATTAGTCGAAAGTCTATTTAATAGATTCGTTTTAATCCGCATTCTCGTAAATGATAACGCAAACGTTTTACGACGCGACTCGCCGGATCGAGACACACGGATCCATTGAAAAATTGTTAATCGCAGTAGAAGTAGAATTCATTTCCCTAACCAACGACGAACTGAAAGATCGTAATGTAGAACATCGAACAAACGAGAGAAGTTGTAGTGCGAAAGAAGCGCTTTTGTTAGAAGCAAAAGAAGACCGGTGCGAGCCGTAAAGAGTTAAATAGTTAAAGGTATCTCCGTTCTGTGTTTCGCATCGAAACTTTCTTAGGCTAATCGCTATTGAGGGATATTTCGTCGCGTGGGTGGCTTCTAGCGCCAACGGAGTCTAAACCACGCGAATTCGCACATATTTCGGTACAACGCGAAAGAGGAGGCCACCTTTGTTGTTTAAAAAATTATTCGATTCCATTCGATCCTTAGCAAGTAATTGTATCCTTGTAAGATTGTGTTTTAATTAATAATATCTCCGATAAATCGTCGACAACGTATTATAAAACCAAAGCTACTTGTTTCGTTTCCCAGAACAATACACGGTTCACGTTAATTAGTTTCGTTTTTCACTAAACTCGCGAGCATTTTCCCAGTTTGTAACGCGTGATTCAATTACCAATATCATTTCATGTACCCGTATCTTTCGAAGCATGTACCATGCATAATCTTGTTTCGTTGAATGCGATACATTTAATTACGCTTATATTCTTTCTCGACTAAACGAAGAGGAAACGAAAAATGAAGTCATTCAGTGTGCCATTGAAACGTCGCGGAACGCTTAAAGATAGCTAGAAGTTCTATCGTAGGAGATGAAATATGGATAAAATCGTGCTGATTATCAAACGAAGACGGAAAACAAAGTTTCAAAAGCGATTGTTGCGTATCCTATGGTATTATATGTATGTATGCATCGATCAACAAATAATACGACAAATGTTTTTGCACGAGGAAAGAAAGAAAGAAAGAAAGAAAGGAAGAAAGAAAGAAAGAAAGAAAGAAAGAAAGAAAGAAAGAAAGAAAGAAAGAAAGAAAGAAAGAAAGAAAGAAAGAAAGAAAGAAAGAAAGAAAGAAAGAAAGAAAGAAAGAAAGAAAGAAAGAAAGAAAGAAAGAAAGAAAGAAAGAAAGAAAGAAAGAAAGAAAGAAAGAAAGAAAGAAAGAAAGAAAGAAAGAAAGAAAGAAAGAAAGAAAGAAAGAAAGAAAGAAAGAAAGAAAGAAAGAAAGAAAGAAAGAAAGAAAGAAAGAAAGAAAGAAAGAAAGAAAGAAAGAAAGAAAGAAAGAAAGAAAGAAAGAAAGAAAGAAAGAAAGAAAGAAAGAACGAACGAACGAAAGAGGAGGGCTCTGTGGTTGTTAAAAATATCGTGGAAGCTGTGAAAAATAGTAGAAAGAAGAAAATGAGCAGCGACAATTATTGGACTTTTGCGATAGCATAAACGTGACGTGTATATTCAGTTAATTTTCTATCCGATTCTACTCTTGTTATTTTTGTACATTTCCACTACATCTATCTCGATGGCACAGATATGTAGAAAGTACGGATACCCGTGAATCTTAACGCGAGCATAAATTAAAAGTATTCCGATACGCGACATCGGTAATCGCTTATCTATTGATTTGCGTTATAAAATACTCTACGTTTGGGAACATGTACACGTTACGAAGATGTACGAAGGAGTCGGTAGTAAGAAATGGTAATCGAGATATCCGAGAGACGGAAAAAACCGTGTTAGACGAGCCTTATAAATGTTACTATATTACCGATCGATAAGTTCGAGTATTATATGCAATTTCGGAAAAAAGATTCTCTTAGCGTAGGATTAATTATCGCATCGGTGATCCGATATAATGTTCACCGTTACTGTCTATCAACACGTTATTATTTATTATTACAAGCTCAACTATTCTATGAATGTCGTTATATCGTTAAGTTTACCGTCCTTTCTCCGCCATTTTGTTCATCGTAACAGAAATTTTATTATGAACCGTTATCGATAGTATCATCATTGCCATCGCGTAATTATATATGACAATTGATGTTTACCGTTGCGATCGTTATTTGTAATTATCGCAGTTACATATTATGCACGTTTAACTTCAAAGGGACTTACGTGCTATGTTAGGGACAGGAGAATGCAAGATGCAGAAAATAAACAAAATGCTTTGTTATTTACAAGGCGCGGAGTGAATGCACGACTATTTTTGCAATATTTCACGCAAATTCTTAACGCGATTAACGGAGGAAGGAAATACATAATGTATAGTTGTAATCAACTTTTTTCAAAAGGCTTTACAAACACGCAACGACTTTTTCCTTTACGATCAAAGTGAAATAAAAAAGTCGAAAAAAAGAAAAAAAGAAAAATTGATTGATCAATTATAAAGCAGTTAATAACGTATAAGCGACTTTCTTTCTGTCGTAAAAAATTTACAGTGTACAATGAAAAATTAATGGAAAGGTTCATTTGCTATTTACATTCTCTTAAATACATCAGAGATGCAAAATTCAAATTATCGTGACTATTTTTTAAGAAAAACATTAATTTACATGATATAAGAAATGCGTGTACGTAAACTTTACTTACGCATTACCGACGCAGTATGTAAAATATAATTATGCCAATATGCACAATGAATAATCATTTTTGCGACCCAATCGTTGCAATGATATAAGCATCGGTAATGATAAAATTACGAATGCATACTCAGTAAGTGCGTTGATAAATCGTTTCTAATGGTAAGCGTAATTGATTAATTATTATATCGTAACGACGATTGATTATCTGATTTATCGGCTGTGTTTGTAACGTACGTGATTAAGTATTAAATTACAACTTAAATATCAACGTGATTTTTTCTTCTAATCTTCTTGAGATTCATCATATTCATACCTTATAATGCATTTTAAATTAAAAAAAAAGATCAGGGTACCTTTCATATAAAATTAGAAAACAACTTTATTTATTATAAATCATTCGTGTTTAACTCTACTTAGTGCGATATACGATTTCTTTGTAGATAAATCGTGCCAACCCACTGGACCTCTTTCACAATCTGCACATGCTAAATATTTTACGTTGCCTACTGTATGTGAAACACCAATATTTTCAAACGTGTACATATCCTCCACCAACCAATAGTCGGTTATCATTTCCTGTTGATCCGCTTCACCTTCTCCCTTACGATGTATATAGGGTAGATTAAACTAAAATGGTATAATACAAACCTTAACTTTACTACTAAATATTTTGCATAATATTTTATGTTTGGCATAATTGCAAAGGAACAAATTACAGAAATATCACGAAATAAATAAATTTTGAGGTTAGGTCCGTCACAAAATACAAATAGAAAATATTTATGTATCTACGCAATTGTGTAGCGTTCAAGGAAATTTTAATAAGTAACAAAATCTTTTTTCATTTAATTTCTACATTAATTTTTCACATTAAAAATGGTAAATTCCCACCTCGATATTAATTAGCCGGGCTGCACCAGCATTGAGCATTTTTGATGGACAAAATGTGCAGTAAACTTTCAACTTGTTCTTTTCATCTTGATCCTTCAGTATACTGATATCCCTGCTCGTGGACATATCTTTTTATTTCAAACTTCTTTTCGTTCGAAACTTATAAATATTAGTTACACAAGTATTGACGTTAATAATGTTGACACTTCAAACAAAAAATACTGGTCGAACAAGAATCGCAATCAGAAATGCTCGATGACAATTCGATAGTCGAACGACTAAATTTTGTTTATCGACGACAGCTTCAAATCAATGTGTATAAGATTATTTCTTATACAGAAAAATGTTTTCCTTAAAAATATTTTTAATTTTTTCATGAATATTGTTACAAACCTCAAAATTAAAGTAAAACGTATTTCTTATTTGATCGGATCATATATCTCTTAGGAACATATTTTTATATGAAATTAAGTCACTTGTTGTAAACAGTAATATAATCGTTAGTTCGTTCCATTTCTTTTTTGTCTATTAATCTCCAACCATATTCGTTAAATGTTTTATCAAACGGCATTGGATCCGTCCAACGATGTTCGTCTGCTTTCGGTCCAATGACAAAAATAAGATTTCCTGTATAATTTTTCATATAATTGCAAAAAGCAGATGCATCATTAAAATAACAAAATAGGAGAGCATATTTATTTGATAGAAAAAAGTTATTTGTATTATTTTCACGAATGAAAACAATATTCTTTAAAAATAATGGTGGTGAATATTTACTACACCACCACGAGCGATCTAATTCTACACCGATCACATCTAAACCTTGAATAAAATAATTAATCATTAAAATTACGTTCAAAATGTCGATTAATGTATACAAAAATTCTATTTTTTAGATAAATCTTACGAAAATCTTACCAGAATATTTTTGAAACAACCATTCTAATAAACCGCAGCCGCAGCCTATGCTTGCTAATCCAACCAGATTGTATTTCTTAATTAATTCTTTTAAAAAATATAAGTCATTAACAGTTGGTAGAACCCAAAATAATCTGCTTTTGTTTAATTTATTTAAAGTACAATTTAAAGTAACAATATCCATCCACTTTTCTTCACTATAAAGTGTTAAAATTTGTTCATCGATGTTTTCGTTAACCATGTCTTTAACCAGAAGATATCTTTAAATTGATTTTAATAAAGCACTATTCTTATTAATACGTACTTGCTCATTGTTTATTAATAGACCGCAAAATTTGTAGATGAAATTTCTAAATTACGTAATATAGTAATATATGTATATTGATAATATATCGATAATGCTTACAGTACATCTGTCGACAAATTTTTTATTCATATATTATTACCTAAATTAAAATTATATCAAGTATTTGATGTTCCTATACATAAAATTTGATTCTTTAATAAATAATTCATATTACAAAATTCATTGATGATAATAATAGTTGTATAAAAAATTAAGAATATAATAGATTACACTGTGTACTAAGGCACTTTTAAGGAAGCATTTTAACATGCATCATGATACACGTGTGCACACACACGCACGCACACATACACACACACTCGCATTTGTTAAAAATTATATTGTTCACTATTTTTAATTTAAATTTAATTCCTTAATTGCATAATGAATATCATCTGTAGAAACATTTAATAAAATCTTTTGATATATATCATTTTTCGAGTGTTCACATATTAATAATCTATTAGCACCTAATCTTCCACAAATAGCAAGTATTTCTGTTACCGAAGGTACTTCAATGCCTGTACAAAAATGGAAAGAGAATTAGAATTTGCTTTTAAATATTTTCTAGTATATTAGATTGAACAAACATACCATCGAAAGAGCATAGCGATTCAAGTTGTTTGTACGCATCTTTAAAATATACTTCCTCAATCGAAGTTCGCGTGACTTCTGCAGACATCGCTTGTAAAAATATTTGCTCCATCTTTGAACAGTGTTTTATGGCCTGCACTTTTGCAGATGCGATCATTTCAGATACAGCTTCTGTTACATCCTGAAGGGATATTGTTTCAGCACTTTGCGATTCCGCAATTTCCACAGCACGACGGCATATGTCCAAAGCTCGTCTAGCATCTCCAGATACAGCAGAAACTTTTCTAGAATTAAATATTTGTTTGTAAATAAATTTAACATGTGATAATAATTTATACTGTATATTGTATTAAGTATTATAATACCGTGCAACAAGCTGTATAGCTTCATTTCTAAAACCATAAAAATCCTTAAGTCTAGACATTACTATTTCTTGAAGTTGTTTGTAATTATAAGGCTGAAAAGTTAATCGTGTTAAACCTAATCGTGATGTAACACGACCCATTAAAACTCTTTCAGGTAGATCCATAGTATTAGCTATAGTAATAACAACTAACTGTGCTGTTGACTTTGTTGGCCAATCTAATAAATTGTAAACAACATCTTGACGTTTTGTACACAAGAAATCAAGCTACAACAATAATATATGTTAACAATAAATGAGGACAATATCTATATATATTGTGAGATATTGAAAAGAAGTCATACTTCATCTATAAGAAGCAATGTCATTTTAGAAGTAGTACTGTGAAATCTTTTTTCAAGAATATGATACGATTGCTCCCAAGTTGCTGTTTTACCATCCAACTGTTTTAGAATTTGTACATAAGCTTGTCTTGGCTCAGTTAGTTTCATACCATTAATTGCAACATAATTAAAATCATCTAATTGTCCTTTAATTATCAACTTTTGTAAGCACCTAATAACTTCATTTACAGTTGCAGTTTTACCTGTCCCTGGTACTCCACTTATGTATATACATCTACAATTTGTTTTTAATTTAGTGATCCAAGTTTTTCATAAAATAATTTTTTTAACATACCCTCCATTTTTGTCTTCCAACTTCCCTCTAAGAAATGTAAAGATATTATTAAATTCCTCTTCTCTACAAGGCAGTGATTTTGGAACAGCACTAACATGTAACCTAGATTTAGCCTCCTGTAATGGAGTAGTTGGTTTCAAAGGAACATTATTTCGTTTTACTAATGATGGTGTTAAATTACTATGTTTTACTTTTATTTTATGAGACTTCGGAGTACTCAAATGAGTTTCTTCTAAATGTGACTCTATGCTTTTCTCTACACTATGTTTTATTTGTGGTATTTTCCTTGTAGATGAAACTTTAACACTTTTGTATGTATCGGATAAATATTCATCCCCTGTACTACTGCTTCTCTTATTGTCAAATTGAACACCTGTCTCTGTATTTTCAGAAATTACCTTCTTTTGCTTATTCAATCTGGTAGGAGTAAAGTTTTTAATTGGTGATGAAATTTTAATCCGTTTATAAATATCAACCAAACAGTCATCCTCGCTATTCCTGTTATTGTCATTAACATATCGAATATTCTTTTGTGTATTCCCACAATTTGTTCTCTTTTGTTTATTCAATTTTACAGGTGTATTATTTATAGGTGCTGATATTAATGAATCTTGTTTCTGAGTTATCTCTTGTATTTTTGAGCTATGATCCAACTTATGTCTACTCTTAGATTTATTAGATTTTTTTAATGACTTTACTTTGAATATTATATCTGTATAGCTACCATTTTCTCCATCTCTTGTAGAAGGAATACGATTTCGTTTATTATTGTTTATATTCAAATGTCTAGGATTAACTCCTAAATCATGTTTACTATCTGAATTATTGGAAGCCTTATTGTGCGGTTGCTTCTCTGATTGCTTTTTATTTTTGAGATTATATATAATAGAATTGACAAGTAATTTATCCTCATTATAATTAATATTTTTTCTACTTCTTAAAGATGGAGAATTTATTGGAGTACTTTCTGAAAAATTTAAAGTATCACAATGATAAAAAGAAAGTCTTAAAGGTGGCTTTCTGTTTCTACTCCCTCTTTCTAATCTCTCTGTTTCTAATCCATTTTCAATTTGTTTCTCTACCAATTTCTTACTATTATTTAATTTACCCGTTGTAAAATTATCTTTGCTATCAGAACAAGATCCTTCACTTTCCATTTCTGAATAACTTTTCTTCTTTTGTCTGTAAAATCGTTTGTGGGATTTATGAATAGCTTTCTCATATTCAGAGTCTGTATCAATTTTGTATAAGCTTTGTTCTGTGGATCTTCTAAGTTTAATTCTAAGAGAACTTTTTTCTTTATGTAAATTATTGATTTTTTGTAATGTATTCTTATAACTTTGAAACACATTTTCTGTATCTGAAGATGCATCTACAATATGTTCTACTATATTTTGTACTTTGGAACTTTTCTTTTTTCTCAATGTAATTTCATTAATATTGTCACATGATTCTCCTTCTCTACTAGAATTTGATTCTGTATCAAGTATTGTTTTTATCTCATTCTCTGAACATTTATTTAATCTTGAGGTCATTTTAATTTTTCACTTCGACTAAATAATCTTTTTAATAAATTATATTTTACTAGTCGCAACGTTTCGTTTACTTAATTGAACATGAAATATTCGAACAATAAAATTCTTGTTACATTTCACCTCTTTCATGTTTTTCCACAACATGAATTTTTTGTTATTTTTGTAATATACATATAACTTTTTAGTATTTATGCTCTAATTCAAATCTTTCTTCATATATGATCATAAATAACGTAGTTTATTTGAATTACCTTCGTATAGTAGATGTGTTCAAACTTTAATGCTATCTAGTGTCAATTGTAAGATTTATAATTGGAATGCGTTCATAGGTTTGCGTAGTATATTTTGTTTAGTTATCGCAGAAATTACTTTCGTTTTCAATAAACCACCTTTCTAATAAATTTTGAATCAATTTTCATTTTAATCTATCAGTATGGATGAAGATATGCGTACTCTTTGGTGTGGAAATCTAAGTGAAAAAGTAACAGAAGAAATTCTGTACGAATTATTCCTACAGGTTTGTAAATTCAAATATCTACGGAAAAAATACGGAAAGATATTTCCCAGTAACATTTAGTAAAATTAGGTATTTAGAAAATAAGGATTAATTTTCAAATCAATTTTATTTTTCTTTTTTAATATAATTTTAAGGTTATACTATTTTGCGTAAATGTCTAATTACATGATTTAATGTTACACACTAACCTCATTAACTTTGAATATACATATTAGCTTAGATTTGTTTGTACATTTTGGATATATATTCAACTGTAAAAGTAATTATAGTTTTACTGTTGCAAAATTTGTGTTAAAATTTAATATTTCATAAAATATTTTCTGCAATGTTATAGGGTGGGCCTGTACAAAAAGTTTCTATTCCTAAACATCCGAATGGCAAGCAGAGATCTTATGGATTTGTAATTTATAAACATATTACTTCTGTATCCTATGCTTTAGAGCTATTTGATGGTACATGCCTATATAATCGTCCTCTTAATATCAGCCTAAAGAAAAACATAGAATTGTCACAAATTACCCAACCACAGGATCATTTTATTGATTTCAATCATTGGCTTCAGTTAGGTGAAGAAGTGTTATTAGGGAATGATATGTCTCATTTGAAAGGAAATACATTTGGGATGAATATGATACCAACCATAGATTCACGCATGAAACAAACAGATAATTATTCTTATAAAGATGATAGGAGATCTCGACGGGTACACCCCTATAATAGGGAACAACACAAAAGTAGTAATCACCATAAGAGAAGCCACTATTCCAAACATGATTATAGAAGTAGTAGACATAATTATTAATCTCTACAGTTATTAATATAGATAGGTTATAAGAACATTTATTGATATATCTGTAATAAAAATATTTTTTGCTTATTTTTATAAAAAATATAGAATTTTCTGTAGTTTTATGTTCTATTTTCTAAGAAAAATTGTACAATGTATTAAAATTTCTTGATATATCTGTTTATGATTCATATGCATATTGTACCAATTTCAGTTCATCTACTAAATTTAAACTAAATTAAGATTAGTATTGAATAAAATAACCGTTTTTTCCATATATTATATCAATCATTAGATGTATAACAATAGCTATATGATTTATGACATTTTGTATGGTTTATATTAACTTTTACATCTTGTTTAATTATACGTGCGGCTTTTTCGGCAATCATTATAACTGCAGCATTAATATTACCGCTTGGTAAAGTTGGAAGAACAGATGCATCAATCACATATAAATTTGTTGTACCATAAATCCTACAAAAAAATAATTTATGTAACACTTGTATAAAGAACAGAACTGTTTTACATATAAAATTAATAAATTACTTAAATGTTTGATCGACAACATCACCCATTCGACATGTACCAGCAGGATGATATGAAGTTAAAGTTAAATGTTGTATATAACATTCCCAATATTTCGTACTATCAAATATTTCGTTTTCACAACCAGGAAAATGCTTTTCATGAATAGTTGCACCAACACTTTTCATGGCATTTGTCCCAACAAGTTTTTTCACAAATTGCAACCCTAAAAATATGTAATACACATGCAATTTTATTTCAAACAATGAATTATATATCTTATCTTATATTAAATTTTATAATCCATATTACCATCTACAAGAACTGCAATATCATCTTTATTTGATAAATATTTTGGATCAATTAAAAGTGGATCAAAAGAATTACTGCTACTTAATTTAATTTCTCCCTTACTTTTTGGATGTAACAGTACTGGAGCAATTGTTATTGTATTCTTGTATAAATTAGGCGCAAAATATTCATTGTATACCTATAAAATGACATATATAAAATTAATTGTGTTAATAGATAGTACATAAAATTTAGGTAATTGTAAATCATTTTGTAATGTACTTCATCAGAAATTCCCATAGCTTCTTTTAGAACAATACCATTATCCCTTGTTACTCCAAGTGGCATTACCATTATTTGTAAATCTGGTATACTTGATTTATTTTTCTGAATAGAACTATGAAAAGTTCCCAAAACTTCAACTCCTGTAAATGTCCAAGGTCCTAATATAAAACATATAAAATATATAATATGGATAATGAAAATTAAGAATTTGTTATTTTAAATAAATTTTACCTTTTCCAAAAAAAAAATAATTTAGTGCTGACATAGGATTCAATGTATTACTCATACGGAGACTTATGCTTGTATTAAGCACAATTAAGTCAATTCCAGTAAGCACATGATCAATTAAATGTTGACCAACTGGTAAATCATTAATTACATTTATCTAAAAATTATATAAATTATTACATTATTACAAAAAGTAAATCAACTTGTACAAAAATCAATATGTATAAATAAATTTTACATTTAAATCTTCTAAGTGTTTCTTTGGTCCAATACCAGACAGCATTAATATTTTTGGAGAACCAATAGCACCAGCACAGAGAATAACACCTTTTTCTGCCATTGCTTTAAATGTTTTATTTAATGCAACAAACTGAACCCCTACTGCTCTATTTGATTGCATTAATACCTTAAAACAATTAATAGTAACATAATTGTAACTAATTTAAAAAATTAAAGTTGTTATAAATTTAGTTTCAAACCTACATTTTCTACATAAGCATGAGTAATAATAGTCAATTTATTTTTCAAATTTTCATGTAATAATTTATCCGTACTCCACCGTTTTCCATTTTCCATAGATAATTGCACTTTCATAAAACCTAAATTAATAGAATGATAAAATCATAAAAATCATTTGTTCCCATAATAATTACCATTCTTTAAATTATCATTGATATTGCCAATATCTTGGTGCAATTCTTGCAATCCTTTTAAAATTATGTCAGCAAGACCTGTATTCCATTCTGAATCACTTACAGGTATTGGACCACCATTTTTTTTAATAGGTTCTAAAAATAATTTTAGACTATAATAATAATAGCAAATCTAAAAAAACAACAAACTTTCACAGGTACCAGTAAAATCCGGAAACCAATCATTATAATCTAAAGGATGTCCTCGTACATATAGCATATAATTTAATCTACTGGTTCCACCAAGTATTTTACCCATTGGCCATTTGCTTTGCTATAAACAAATCCTTGATAACATATGTAATTAAATGACATTTTATGATCAATTATATATTATACATTGTTCTTTAAACCCTTGCAAGCATGCTGTTGTGGTACAGTAATATATTTCCAGTCATATGGAGTATTTTGAATTAGGGGAGCCAAAAGTGGGATATCTAGAAAAGGTGGGGCAGTTCCTCCAGCTTCAAGCAATAATATTGTATATCCATATTCAGTTAGCTTTGTAGTTAAAATTGCACCTGCTGTACCAGCTCCAACTAAATAGGAAAATGATAATTTTACAATAAATTTATTATATAATCACATTTAAAATGTTTATTGTAAATACACGCGCGCGCATACATACATTTGTTACACACATATAACTTACCGATAATAAAATCATATAGTTGGAAATCTTTAATATCATTAAAAAACCACTGTTTGTAAATATCAAAAAAATATAAAAGATTAAGATAATTAGAAAATATAAATACTATCAAACTGGTAATCGTAAATATAATAAACTGTGTACATGCAAACATTATAATAGCATTACAAATTGAGGTTAAGAAATGTTAGGAATGAATTTCTTTCGGTATGATATATAGTTTTCAAAGATTACAATAGAAACGTTATTGCTGTATATAAATATCATCAGCATAGAAGTACTTATTCCGTTATTTTCAATACATACTCAATTGCGTAATCACATATTAATAAAAAATAAAAAGCTTGCATAGGATATGAAAAAGGATAGAAAATATTTTTAGAAGAGTATAAAAAATTTATTAAAAATTTGATTGTATACAATATTACGGTATGCATTCCGTTGCAACAGCAATTGGCCATGTAACAGGACCTTTTAATATAATATCTTCTAACAAGGATTTTATTTTTACAAATCTTCGTTTAAATTCTAGACCACAGCCCTTAGATAATCGAAAATCAACTAATATTTTTCCATCCATTTCAACAATATTTGCTTTAAAAACTAAAGGCATTTTTCTTCTATCAACCGCTGATATAGTAATCTGAAAAAAATAATCATGTGTATTTATGTATTATTTTTCATTTTAAATGATATTTCAATATATATTCTAATTTCAATTTCAATTTAGTTTCGCAGCTTACCGTGCCGAAATTATTAATACGACATGTATAATTTTCATTTTTTAAAGAATTTAGTAATCTTTTTATGGTTGTTTCCAACTCTGTTTTAACGAAAAATCTTGTCATTCGTCGTACCAATCGTTGGAATGTATTTTGCTGTAAATACAAAATTAAATGTAAATGAGTAGTGAAACATAAATCACCAAACAACTTTAATGGTTCAACATTTGTAATTATAACAATATGTTACACTACCTGGCTAGCCTGAGTAAATTGCTTAGTTTGCACTTGTGTACATACTAATAGATCTTCTATATGCGCAGGTTGTGAAAATGAAAACCCGGGCCGTTCTTCTAAGTTAATTTCTACTGCATTAGCATTTTCTAATACAGGCAATTCAGGTTGCGATAAACAGAATCTTGTTAAGTTTTCGTCTTCCATTATTTGCCTTGAATCAGTTTCATCAGGTCGAATATATCCTTCTATACTTCCAGCTATTATACAGAGGTTTTTAAAATTTTATTGATCATCATTTTTTAGTTTATTTGCAATTTATACTTCGATATTCGAAACTATAGCATAAAGAAGTAACAACAGAAGTGAGAATATTAATAACTTTTACTTCTTCATCAACAGAAATTTTTAATATTTTGGATGCTTATGCCATTGCTCTTTGCTCTGGAAATCTAGCTTTATGATCCTTAATTAAAATCATAGAGCTGTATTACCAAAGTAAAGGCAAAAGCTTTGATAATCTTCAAAAATGATGACTATATTCTAACTTGCTTGCTAAAGATTTGCTAACAAAAATAATGTTGTTACATACTTACTCTATGTTGCAAAAAAGTGTTGTATTCAATATCCACTCAGTTAGGTACCAAGCTGCTTTGAGTAATTTAATATGTACTCAGAGTCACTCAGTACCTGACTAAGTAAATATTTGTCTCATATCTTACTCATGGAACATTGTAAAAAACGTCATACATTACAAAGCTAAATAATTTTGTAAAATAATTTTGTATGTAAATTAATGCATACCTTTCTGGAATTTTTTGATGAACCATCTATGTTGCTTAATATCCTTTATGGTAAATCTGGATAGTGGTGAGTGCATAAGAACATTTTTAATCAGAGACAATGAAGAATTATCCAACTTTTTCCATGGTGTAAGAGACATGTATTTTCCATCTCTCCATGCCATATACTCTGGACACTCTGCCAAGGACTGATCCCAAGGCAGTTCTATAGTTTAGATATGGACCAGTTAAAAACTAAGAAATGTAAGTTATGCATTAGACCTAAACCATCAGACTAAAGATCACAGTAGTCTGCATTTTACAAATACAATCATCATCACTGATCATTATCTACATCAATAATTTACATAAAATATTTACAATTAAATGTGAAAAATTAAATGGAGTTTATATCGTTTTATATTGTAATTATGTATATTGACATCATGTTAATATCTATGCAAATTTACCATTGAGACAAAAATAATCATTTACAACAATTTAAAATAAATTTTTCTATAAAGATTACCTCCAGCTAGCAAAGCCACAAGAATTATACCACATGACCATATATCAGCTGGTTCAGCATGATAGGGACGCATTAATACTTCTGGAGCAACATATGGTAATGTTCCACATCTCCTTTCTAAACAACGTTCTTTGCCTTGTAAACGATATATTGTTGCCAAACCAAAATCAGAAACCTTTAAATTATCATGTTCATCTAGTAGTAAATTTTCTGGTTTCAAATCCCTGTGAGCAATACCTTTGCTATGAAGATACTCCACAGCAGATATTAATTGTTTGAAATATTTTTGTGCTTCCCATATTGGCATACCAACATCCGGTTCTATTTTAAATTAAAAAAAAGACTTAATAATATTATAATTTTTTTAATTTTGCTTTGTAGGAATAATATAATATCTCACCAATCCTATCAAAAAGTTCTCCACCTGATGCATATTCCAAAAATATATATTCCATATTAGGTTCACTACGCTTTCCAAAATACTGTATAATATTAGGATTAGAGAGCATACGATGAATTGTTGTTTCTTTACGTACAGTTTGACGAGCATCTGGATGCTTCTCTAAATCTACCATTTTCATAGCAACAGCCTCACCAGTAGACTTGTTTATAACCAATTTTACTCTGAAAATAAAAATTAAATTTAATTCTAACGATAATTTTTAAATAAAGATACAAGTAAAATATTTAACCGTTTCAAGTACAAATATTTTTTTGCATGAATCTTAAATGAAAAATATTTATATAAATTAAACATATATAAACGTACTCGCCATAAGCACCTTCTCCTAAAGTGTGACCAAATATCCAACCATCTACGAACTCCGTCATCCTGCTTCAGCATGCCTTTTTACGATGATAGTAAGAATCTTTGTTCTTTGACTGATATTTCCTTATAGACCGTTCATTTAACGTAATTACCTTTTCTAGAAAAAGATAAATTATTAAAATAATTAACACAATTTCATATAATAACCATTTTTTCTCAGTAAAATGCTCACATTATATATCATTTTTCATAAAAACGATCGGTCTCTCGAAGCACGTGGTTTTAATCACGTCGATGAAACATTGTGCTTTCGATTGAACCGAATGTAATATAATAACGAATTACATTTAAAAGCATATATTCGTACAACTAATAAAGATTCGTGAATTATGTCTTATTAATCTGCTTAATAATGCAATTGTGAAATAAATTGATATTAAGATTAAAGTACTTCCTTTTCAAGATCGTAAAAATTACTCCTGTAGAACACGTTATAAAATAATGTAAGAGGTATTCATCTCTAGAAAATGATGAACCACACACACTAGAATTTCTGGGTATAAAATTACTGTGTTCTCATTGGTCGCTGATGTATTTAAAGAACCTTAAAGTCCCTACTTTGTAGACGAATATCAATTAATGAGTGTATGTTTAAAAAACAAAAAAAAAATAATTTTAATACTAAAAGAACAGAATGATGAAATTACAATTAAAATTAAATTGATATTTCAATTTACTTTATAATTCAAATATATCATTTTACTTACAAGTTTTCTAACAAAGATGCACAACATTTTATTGTTTTCTACACTTTCATTTTACATCATCTTTGTAATATTTACTTCCTTACAAGGAAAGTGCAAGTCCTTTGGGTCACCGATTTAGTTGAAACTTTTCGTTTATATATCGTCCTGCAGTTTAAAAAAATATATCATTATAGCTGCAACTATCCAAAAGTTTTAACATATTGACGATTAAAGTCTTATTACTTACACAATTATATACTTATTTGCAATATATTTCAAATTAAATTGTAGCGTAATGGCAACCATCGAGAGTTTCTATACTTGGAGGATCGGGGTTCGATTCCCATTCACAGCTTTTTTCAATATATTTTTTATTTTGTATTCATTTTGCGCCTATGAAAACATTGTAAATAAAATTTCTTAATAAAATAATTTACTTTTTACGCTTTCGTATGCTAGTATATATTTATTACAAAATAATAACAATATTATGCAAAAAAAATACTTTTCTATAGCAATTTTATTTACTACAAGAAATGCAAAACCTATCGATCATGTCAGTATTAATTATTAAATTAAACATTGTATAAGAATGTTGCATATAATTCCAACTTTGCTGTGCAGCTATAAATTTTCATGAATTAATTACGAAAACTTGGCAACTTATTAATTTTCTACTGTCGAATTGATTTCTAGTATCCAGGTCGAATAAAAATTTTACCGCCTGCGATCAGCGCCATCTATGATTTTGGAATAGTTTCTCAAATAGTTTACTAACTCTGGTTACGTGCACCTAATATATTTTAATTTATTTTAATAAATCAAATCATAAAGTTTTCTACATTCTTTAATAAATTCAGCCCAAACAGTGGTTTTAATTAAACAATCAGCATTCATTTCTTTACCTGGTAGACGACAAATATGCAAAGGTACGCTTTTACAACCCAATTATAAAAGTTCATAAATTAATCACAGAAATCGAGTGATTTGTTAATTTTTCCCCAAATGAACAGGAGAGTGCATAGGAAATGAGAAAACATTGCAAACAAAACATTTTTCCACTTTTTATTAGTGATAGCAGAGCTTGGTTATGAAAAGGAAATATTCTGTTGAAATAAACAGGCACGTGCAACAGTAGAAAAATATTGGACTCATGGAATATCACCAGCGTAGAGCCATGAAATGTAGAAGAATTATATTTTATAGCGAGAAAAAATTGAAGCAGCAATACAAATATGTAAGTTATGATATGTCTATTGGATTCCAGGTCGGCTAACCATATGACATACAAGATAGTAATCTTTGATGGTCAAATAAAGGTTCAGAAAACGGATATGGCTTAGGCAGGCAAAAGATTAAAATTAATTTTGGT